AATCACTCATTTATAACTGTGGCACTCCTCAAACCAAACAACCCATGGCTCTGTTCACTGCTTCAAAGCCCACTGCCATTGTACCCATTACTGAAACAACCCCAGTTCTCAAGATTTCTTGACTCAAATGCTCTAGTGGTTTCCAATGGACCTCTGGCTTCTAGCCCTCCCATCCCCCTTCCCTTCCCCCACAATGCCTTGCCAGAGACATTTCCCAAGGCTGCAGTAGGCTCTGCCTTCAGGTCTCATTTCAAGTTGAAGGTTGATGAGTCTGCTGTCTGCGCCTCCAGGACCCAGAACCTCACAGAGCCCTACATACATGGATTCTAATGCCCCGTGCTGGTGATTATAATGATCCATATTTTTGGTGGTTGGCTAGGATCTCTTTGAAGGCTGGTATTGGATTTATTCTTCCCTGTCTCACATAGTCCAGCCTAAAGCCTGCTATAGGAGATGCTCCACAGAGTGTTAATACATTGAGGCAAGACAACAGTGAGAGGCAGCATGACACGGAGGCACTAGCCACTGTGACTGGCAAAGCCTTGCCTGCTCAGCATGGCTCAAGTGCCTAACAGATGTGCCAAAGGATCAGTTTGCAACTGGGGCCAAAGATTAGAGGCTCCAGGGGGTAGATGTGCAGTCTTTGGAGGCCCACATAAAATTAGTACAATATGCTGCATAGGTAATAGAGCAAGCCATCTGTTTGAGTAGGCAAACTAGATTTTGAGATTAGTTAGCCAGCAAGAAAATGTTTAAGTTTGAAAATATACTTTGTGAGGTAGACTTGCTGTAGGCAAGAGATTACTTTAACATTTAAGGAGAATTCTTAATGAGATTTAAGCCTGCTAGTAAAGCATGATCCCACTGGGAAAGGTGCCCATCAAAGAGATGCAGTGAGTGGTTGGCAGCCACATAGGGCATCGATGCTGGCCTAATCTCCACAACTACAACAAACGTCTCTTTGTGGGTCCAGTTGTTGCCTCAGTAAATATCCACAACAATAAAATCCAGGCCCTCAGAGCCAGAGGGCTCAGGGCATCCAAATGAACTCCATACTGCATCACGGAGATTAAAAGTAAGACAGATGTCCCAAACTAAAAGTGTACTGTGCTGTCTCACTGGAAACTGCTGTGTCTCTTCCCTAAGAACTTTGCCCCAAAGGAATGGACTTTGATAACCAACAGAAGAGGCCGTACACCACATCTATAAATTAATTTCTCTCTCCCACTCCCTCCCCACTTCTTCTGTTCTATGTCCTAAAAAAGGGCTTCTATGCTCTATCAGAGAACCTGAGCTATTGTCCTGAGGGCAGGTATAAAAAAAAGAACATTACTGGTACTGTAGTACAGCAGTCAGCCACATGCCTAGCATTGTGAGGCTGTGAGCTTAACATCCAGTTATGAGGGGAAATACGTAAACCTTCCAGGTTTATTCCTGAATAACAAATAACCACATCTGGGGTGATGTTTGCAGAAGAATCGCCACCTGTGCTGGGCGGTTTTATGTCAACTTGACACAAGCTAGAGTCATCTGAGAAGAGGAAACTTCAATTGAGAAAACGGTTCCTTAAGATCTGACTGCAGGCAAAACCTGTAAGGCATTTTCTTAGTGATTGATGTGGCAGGGCCCAGCCCATGGTGGGTGATGCCATCCCTGGGCTGCTGGTCCTCGATTCTATTAGAAAGCAGGCTGAGCAAGCCAGTCATCAGCACCCTTCCATGGCTTCTGCATCAGCTCCTGACTCCAGGTTCCTGCCCTGTTTGAGTTCCCATCCTGACTTCCTTCAATGATGAACAGTGATGTGGAAGTGTGAGCCAAATAAACCTTTTCCTCCCCAAGTGGTTCAGTCATGGTGTTTTATCACAGCAATGATAACTCACTTTATTTAGGATACCATCACAATATATCTACTTAAACAAACAAACAAATAACAACAAAATCAGGATGCTAAGCTGAAACATTTAAGGATCTTCCACACAAGGCTGTTCCTCAGCGCAGCCTCCTGACAAGCTGATTGTCTTGCCAAGTCACTGAAGCTGCAGGCCATCTTTGTGAATGAGCACAGAAGGGCAGGAGTCAAGGAATCTATCAAGTACATGGACTTTGCATGATGTACAGATTAGCTTCATATTTGTATGTTTCTGCTCTATTTAAAAAAAATAGTGTTTGTTCAGTAAGATGGCTTCATGGGTAAAGGTTCTGACTATGCTAGCCTGATGATCTGAGTTCAATCCCTGGAACTCACATTAAAGGTGGAAGGAAGATAATCCATTCCACAAAGTTGTTCTCAGACCACATCTCTGCTATGGGATGGTCCTTCTGCACACTGTGAATATGATTTTATCTCACCGGTTGATAATAAAAGTTGTTATTATGGTCTATGGCAAGACAGGATAAGGTTAGGCGGAAGAATCAAACTGGGACTCAGATGTAAGGAGCTGCCCAAGAAGCAGGATGCTGGAGGACTGGTAAGCCATGGACCACAAGGCAATAAACAGATGAATAGGAATGGGTTAATTTAAATGTAAGAGCTAGTTGATAATAAGCCTGAGCCATCAGTCAAACATTTATAATTAATATAAGCTTTTATGTGATCATTTGGGAAGTGGCTGCTGGGTATTTGGGGGTTGCCGGTGAGACAGAAACTCCCCTCCGATTACACATATGCACCTTTCTACATGTACCTGCACATAGAAATAAATCAGTATCAGGATTTAGTTCAGTGGCAGAGTGCTTGGTTAACAAGTATGAGCCCCTGTACTGAAAAGAAAGGCCACTACAGAACCAGGACTGACAGCAAGGCTTCTACCTGCTGAAGGAAGGACGGAAGGTGGGAGACAGCGATGTTTCAACGGGGGAAAATCCAGTATGCAGAAAAGCTTTCATGTCTTCACAGCATGTCATCTTCTGCACTTAGCCTGGTGGCACTAATGCCTCAGCCTTGAGACATCTAAGTTAGACTGCTTATCAGACAGACTCAGCAACATGCAAGTGGCTGGCTTTGCATGAATCTAAGATAATATTTGTGTCAAAGAATTCATGTCCACACTTGGAAATGTTTACATGCTTTAAAAACACAGCTAAGCCTTCATGCCAGAGAAAGAAAAGTAATGTCAGCCCATCAACAAAGAAACACTTTAATTGCTCAAGAAGTTCCTCTTTAATGTCTGGGTGTCAGTTTTGCTAATAGAAATTAGGCTTTTAGGTGTTTATGTTTAGGAGTTAGGACAGGGCATTAGAAGACCCACGGTGGAGGAATCTGGATCTGTAACAGAGGCTTTGGCTTTCTTGAATAGTCCTGTGAGACCAGGTCCCTGCAAATGACCACATCCAACCCTAAGTGTCAGGAAATTTGCACTGAGCACGGAAATGAGCAAGTCTCGGGATGAAGCCAGTCCCTGTGGGCTCACACACTGAGAAAAAAGCTACTTAACTTCTGGAAGCTCAACTCTGGAGTCAGACTGCCACATGGGGCCCCAAGGTCATATCAGTTTTCCTCTGTTGTTTCCTTGGTCAAACTGGGGTTTGACTGTCTGATAAGCAGTCTACCTTAGATGTCTCAAGGCTGATGCATTAGTGCCACCAGGCTAAGTGCAGAAGATCACATACAAAAGAGTATGTCAAAACAGGCTAAGTGCAGAAGATCACATACAAAAGAGTATTGTTCACCCAGGATGCTGCTCAGTTGGGTGAGTGCTTGTCTAGCATGCATGAGAGTTTGATCCATGGCATCACAGAAATTAGTCGTGGTGATGCACACCTGTATTTTGAGTGCTCAGGTGGTAGAAGCAGGAGGTTCAGAAGTTCAAAGCCACCCTCAGTTACATAGTGAGTTTGAGGTTAGCCTGCCATACATGAGATCCCAAGTGAGAGTGCTGTTCCAAAGATTGAGTGGCATAATAATCAATGTTGTTTTCTAATAATCTCCCTGATGGTGATTATGAGAACATTGAAGTCAGAGCTGATGACGATGCACATAGCTACTGTGTGCATTGCCGTGCACAGGACATGGATGTGTTTTAATGGGCACACCAACTGTCAACTGAGCACCTAGCTTAAACATGGATATCAGCCTTTTAACCCCCGCTAAAACACTGTCCACAAGGGTTCAAATGACTTCCTCCAAATTTTGGAATTAGAAGGTATGGTGGTTAGTTTTAACTGCCAGCTCTACACAGTCTAGAACCACTGAGGAAGACCCTCTCAGTGAGTGAGTGTCTACATCAGGCTGGCCTGTGGGCATATCGATAGGAGGCTCTTTCGACTGCCTTGATTGATGGGAGATAAGCTAGCTTGAAAGTAGGTGGCAGCATTACCTGGTTTGGGGCCCTAGATAGTGTAAAAAAGGCTAGCTGGATACTAAGCATAATGTTTAACATTCTTTCTGCCCTTGACTATGGATGTAATGTGACTAGCTGCTTGAAGCTCCCGCTGTCTTGGCTTTGCCACAATGACAGACTATAACTTGGAATTGTGACTGAAATTAATCCATTCTCCCAAGTCACTTTTTGTCAGGTATTTTATGAGACTAGGACAGGAGGCAGCAAAGCTGGCATGCCACCCCAGGCTCTTACTGCACCTCTGTGCCTCAGTTAAACAGTATGCCCTTACATAAAACCACACTGACTAGAGCCACCTCAACTTGTTCTCCTCTGTTATTTTATTTATCTACTTATTGTTTTAAGAAGTAGGTGGTCTAGGGTAGTAGTCCCTGACCTTCTCATAACAGCAAGCACTCCACTGTGGAGCCCTTTCCTCCAATCTTAGCCAGAGTGCTCTTGGCTAGCTTCCTTTTCCACATTTAAGGGCCCTGGGCTGTGCATGTTGCCGTGACTCCAGCCTGTGTTCTGGTCAAGCTATGACTCCACAAGCTGCACTGGGTTCCTGTACACAGAGAGGAAATCTTACTGTCTTAAGTTGTAGCAACAGGTCAAACAATGGCAGGATCTTTTCAACATTAAAAGTGAAATGGGGCTCTTAATTCCTGTACTGGTCCTCACCTTTTGTCTTCTGGAATGCTCTCCAATAGCATTTGAAGGAAATCCTGAAATAAGAAGAAAGCAAACCATGAAAGCTGTCCACCAGTAACCCCAACCATGCCAGCAACCAAGCATCAACTGTTCAATGCACCTAGGGTCCGATCACACATAAAAGAACTGCCCCTTACTTTCCCATGCACTCGCTATGAAGTCTCCCTCAACGCCTAGAGGTCCACAGCTCACCTGCCATTCACAGGCAGTGCTCTAGAAAGAGGCCAAACTCAACAGGGCAAGAACCAGCTGAGCTACAAAGATGGTCCCAGTCTGAAACTCAGTCCCTTCTCCTCTCCTGTGTCTGTGCAGCCACAGGACATCTACGGATGTGTGACAGTACCATGTCACGACTTACACCTTTTTCCCAAGCCACTTTCTTTTATTGTGGAAAATTTCAAATAAAAGCAAAGTAGAATAATTAACCACCCTGTTCAAATTACCCGAGCTAACCTGCCTTGTCCTATCCATTTTTCTCCCTTTTGAACTATTAAGAAATCCTGAATATTATATAATGTTATCCATAAATGCATGGTAAACCTCTCTAAAATAAAAGGACTCTGTCAGGAATAACCACAATATCACGGACCTAAAAGTTCAAATATGAACGCTTGCTCGTATTTAATTTGTATTTTTACCGTGGCCACCTTTCCCATCCAACTCTGGAATCCTCACCTGGTCTTCACCAGTGTTGTCAGGCATAGGCCACGTAGTTAAACTGGGAGGATAAACACACTAAGAATGACTGTTTACTTAAAGTTCAGACTTAACTGGGCTTTTCTGCTCTGTCTTTTTATTTGCTGAATGTAAACTCCAGCATAAGCTTCTCACCATCTGAATGTCAGATGGGTTGGAGGACACAAAAGAAGAAAAAAAGCAAGCACGAAGCGTAACATTTTTGCTATTAATGACATTAAACAACAAATAGGATCTTTATCTGGAGGGATTTTTCTTGTTTTCACTTTTACTTTTTTTATGCATAGGATCTTTTGCTATGTCAACATTACACGATTTCCTTTTAATACAGTAACGAACACAATTTTGTTTCTTGTTTTTCTAAGTTTGTATAGTCACTTTTGTTTTTGAGACAGTTTCTTCATTTGTAGCCCATGCTGATCCTCCAGATCAGCCTCCTGATGGCTGGGACCACATATAGATGTGAGCCACAACACCTGGCTATCCTTGAAGATTTAACAAAGAGAAAATAAACTTTTAAGGCACATGTAATAGCCCATGCCTGTGATCCTAGTACTCAGGAGGCAGAGGCAAGAGAATCGATTGGAGCTTGAGGTTAGCCATGTGAATCCCTGCTTTAAAAACAGTACAGTGCTCATATATGAAATTCACAAAAATAAATACATTAAAAAGGTTAAAAAGCAGTCTTTCAGCCCACGCCAGCACACACTACCAGAGCAGGGGATGGGAGGAGCAGTCCAGACCTTTGCAACACAGCAGGTCTGACGGCAAAGTTAAGTGAATGAATGCAGAGCGGCATGCATGGCAAGGTTCTCCTTTTCCATCACCACACTGAGTCCAGCCATCACTGAATGAGCAAAGCCAGCCTGCGGGCTTATGGGGGGCTGTCTTTCCAGAGGTGAAGAAGGTTCCTCAATAAAAGAACTAATGAAAGACCTCTCACACTGCTGTGACTAAATCCCTCACACAGACAACTTAATAGAGGAGAGGCTTGCTGTGGCGCATAATTTTTGAGGCCTCGTACAGCATGGTGGCTGGCGGGTTGCAACTGTGGTGGCTTGCTCACGTGGTACAGAGGAGGAGGCAGGAAGCAGGGGCTGGAGCCAGAACAGCTATGGAATGCAAGGCCCACTCCTCTCAGGAGCCTACTTCAGACAGCTAGGTCCTGACTTGTAAGGGTTCCACAACCTCCCCAAACATTGCCACCACTTGGAGACCAATGGATGCAGTGAAATGGTGTTGGGAGGCGGCTGCCCTGGACTGTTTACTGCCTCACAAATGTACCTACAGTGGACATACAGAAAAGCCTGCTCAAGAAAAACAATACTGGTATTTAGAATGTGAGGAATTATTTTTCCCTTGAGGTTCTTTTGTGTGGGGTGAGGGCTACACATTTGTGAATGTGTAGACCAGAAGCCAGCCTTGGATACCATTCCTCAGTCTCCCCTCCTGCGATTACAGGAGGTGGCTGGCTCTTATGCACAGGTCCTGGGGACAGCGATTACAGGAGGTGGCTCTTATGCATGGGTCCTGGGGACAGAGATTACAGGAGGTGGCCGGCTCTTATGCACGGGTCCTGGGGACAAGCGGGTCCTCATGCTTGCACAGACAGTACTTGACGCCACCCGAGCCTTGCCTGAGGTCCTAAGGTCATCATTTCTATTATTTTAAAAATTACTGGGACTAAGGAAATAGGCGAGTAGTGAAGTATTCACCTATTATTAAACAATATTTTGTAAAATGGTGCATTAAAAATTTATTTATCATGATCTAATTAATAGATCTCTTTGTAAATCACTGTATTCATGGATCACTGATGTATTGACAAGATTTTGATTTTTTGATTCTTAAAAATCCAAGAACTGTAACTATGTAATTATAACTCTAATTATAACTTCTTACTAATTTTACCCCATTATGTCTATATAGTACCTACAAACTTATCTCCTATTTTCCTAGTAATTTATGCTCAATTATGTGTGGGGGGGAGAGATGGTATTAACTTAATAACAAGGGGGAAGAATTTAATTGCTTGAGAAGCAGGAAATTCGGAGTTAACCTTAATTCTACCCTTTCACATTTTCAAGTTACAACTAGCTTCACAGCCCCTCCCCTTCTGATAGGAATATAAGCACAGAGATCTGGATATAGGGCAGTGAAGAAGGTCCCTATGAAAACCTCCCCCTCCTCCTTTTTATTTTAAAAAGATGGTGTCCTGACTTCTAGTCAGTTACTATTCTGGAGCATTTGCTGATTCCTACCTCCAAGCTTAGATTGGCAGGCAGCTAGCTGGAGGCTTCCAACCAATGCCTGATATCACACAGACCAACCACACTGGGTATCTCCAAGATGTCCCCCGAGATTTGTGATGCACTTTCTACACTGTCTTGTGCTCCATCCAATTTGAGATGCTTGTTTCTCGTCTGAAGTCTCTTAAGCACCTATGAGGAGAATGGATTCTCCTATTAGAGACTCAAATCTAACCACACAGCACTAGCTTTCCTGCTTCCTCTTGTAGGCTGCCGTTGCCCTGGGTAGACTTGTGAGAGCAGTCCTTTCTAACCACTGCCTGCTGAACCAGAATGAGTGTGTCCTCAGGAAGCTGTCTTCCCTCACCATCTCCTCCTTTCTCCTCACTGTGTTTAGAGTGCTGAGAAGGAAGTTGACATTACAACTGGACAAGGAGGGCTCCTGCCAACTCCAGGGGTCCCAACACCAGGGGTCCCAATGTGCCGTTTTGTAGTATGCCTGAAACAGATGGAAACCAAAGGGAAAAACAAAGGTATTGTTGGAGAGGAGCTTTACCTGGAACCTGGAGGGGCAAGAAGCCCCCACCAAGCAAGGGACAGTCCTCCAGGCTGCACTGTCAGCTCCTACTGTCCTAATAAACTACATGCTAATCACATCAGTCCCAGACCACTTCTTTTAACACCTAACAACACTAAATTAGCCATTACACCTTTAAAAAACCAAACTAACAATTCTGTCCAGTGGTTAATCTGGCAATTAATTTTTGGATCTAGTGAAAATATTCACTAAAATGTAGGTGCATGTAGATTCTACCAGATCAACCACCTTTGGCTTAAGAATGACACAGGACTAGTGGTTTCTATGAGGAGTTTAGGATTAATCACTGTGGCCATGGCCTGGAAGGAAGAAAAGACAACAGTATAGGAAGGCTGACAATACCGAAATACTGCACAAGGAAAGGGATGATGAAGCTGAGCAAACTGTAACAAAGTATCAGGGTAAATGAAAACACAATTCATACCAATTATTTAAAAAAAAAAAAAAAGCAAAAGCATGCCCAACAGCTTCCAAATAAGGATGGCACAAACTCTAAAGCAAGGAGCTAGGGAAAGGAAAGGAGATTCTGCCAGATTCTAGGGAACATGCCACACCGCCCCCACTCTCGGTCTTAGAAGTTGGGGAGCTGAATTGCCCAAACCTCACAAATTCTTAAACACCTACACATTTGCAAAGAGATGGGGATGTACTATTCTTCTTTCCTAGCTCTGGAGGGCCTGGAGCACTTGCTGGAGAGATGCACAAGGGTGGGAATAAGCCACTGAGGACAGCTGGGTGCTCAGACGCTGCCCTCATCTGGACAGGCAACGTGGACACTGCAAGTCCAAGGGTCAGGAGAACCTGGGGAGGGGCAGTTAGCAACGTTTCAGGAGGGCGGGGTCAAATCCTTCCAACAAATGCTCAATGGAACTGCTGCAGCACTAGGCCGCATCTCCACCCATAATGTCCACCTGTTAGACATAGCTTAGAGGGGCTGGAAAAACAAGCCTTAGGTGAGCTGGGAAACGAATCAAAGACAAAGTTCCAGCACACATGAGATTAAATAAAAGGTCAGAGCAGGGCTATTCACGCTGAGAGTGAAGCATCAGTGAGAATGAACACAAGCCATGTGAAGAGAGGAGCAGAGAGAAGCTAAGAGAAACAGAACTCATGCTGAAAAAAAAAAAATAACCCAAGGAGCAGAGAACAATCCCTTCGCAATGTTTTACATTAGTAAAACCAACAAAACTAGCAACAATAACCAAAAATTAAAGGCTAAAGATGACAAGACAACAAAATGAAAAGAAAAGATTCTAATTCCAGGAAAGAAAACGAAGCACCATAACAACACCAATTCAGGAATATTAATCTGTAAAGAGCAAAGCAAAGAACACTGAAGAAAATGATATTAAGTGCTAGGCTTGCAGATCAGAAGATCAAGGTTGTCTTCATCCCATTAGGAGTTTGAAGCTAGCCTGGGCTAACTGAGACTGTCTCGAAAGAAAAAGGAAAAAAGGCTATTTAATAATAAAGAGCTGCCTGAGAAAAAATGGGATGAAGACAAGAAAGAGGAAAGTAATTATCTAATAACATATGTACACCAGACAAAGAAGACGTAACAGGGAACTAGAACCTTACAAGGGGAAAAAGTATATGAGCAAAGATGTAGTTGAAGTCAAGCATGGTGACACAGGCCTGTATTTCCAGGAGGCGGAGGCAGGAGGATCATAAATTCAACACTAGCCTGGGCTACACAGCAAGATCCTTGTCTCAAAACACAAGACAAAACAAAGCATACTTTAGTCAGGCAGTGGTGCAGCACACCTTTAATCCCAGCACTCTGGAGGCAGAGGCAGGCAGATCTCTGTCATTTCCAGCCAGCCTAGGTTACAGAGCGAGTTCCAGGACAGTCAGAGCTACACAGAGAAACCCTGTCTTGAAAAACCAAACAACAAAACAAAAACAAGACAAAGCATATTTAAGACAATTGCACTTAGAATCTAAGACTTAAAAAGGACAGTGTTTTCCAGGGAGAAGGAATAACGCAGAATCATGCATGCCAGGGCCAGTGAGACGGCTCCCCAGGTGAAGAAGCTTGTGGCCAAACCTTAGGACCTGAGTTTGATACCCAAACCCTGCACAGTGGAAGGAGAGAACAGACTCCCACAATAGTCCACTGTACTCCACATTTGTACCAGGCAACACCCAAACACACATACACACACTCCCTCTCTCTCCCCCAGTGTGAAACCATTCTTTGAAATAATCACGTATACTCACTTAGTTTTAGTTAAATCACTGAACTCAAAGATAAAAATATCTTCTGCCATCTACATGATATAAACAGGGAAAAGCAGGCAACTTTCAAAAATTTCACAGCAGTGATTGATCTAAAAGGCGGTTGAGCAACATCTATCAAGTTCCAAGGAATAAATACGTGGCCCAGGAATATTTAAACCTAGCTCTTTTGTGATTTAAACACAGACAGCAGACATGCATTCCCAAGCAGTAAGAACTGAGAAACCACACAACCTGGGAAGCTGCAACTTGAACATCAATTTGAAAATGAAATTGAGCCAACAAAGAGCTAGATCAAAATAAAATATTCATGAATCTAGAAGCATGGTTAAGTGGTGGCAATACTAAAATCCTTTATGTTGGCAAAGCAAACCTCAGCAATGTAACAGTAACAACTAAAATGTGCGGACTGGGGGATAACAGAAGCACAGTATTGCCTATTTCCTCTTTAAAAACAAACAAACAAACTGAAACATTGTTTCTGTTTTTGGCTTTTGAGACAGGTCTCATTCTGGCCTTGGCTAGCCTGGAACTTGCTTTGTAACCAGGCTGGATTGAAACTCAAGAGATTAGGCAGTGTACCTCCTCTTCCCCAGGAACAAGCCTGATGGGAAATCACACTTGGAATCACAGCACCATATCTGTGACGATGCTTCTTATCAGAATTATCTAGCAAAAGCTCTCTCTCACACTATTGTGAACTCAGAATGTTCACTTCGGTTTCCTTTCTCACTAAACTTGGGTAAATGAAATCTTAAAAGCACATACAAGCCAGGAGGCAGGAGGATTAGAGAGAGTCAAGGCTAGCCTGAGCTACAGAATAAAACCTTGTCTCAAAAGAACAAACAAAGCAAAATAAAACAACAACAACAACAACAAGAAAATGCAGAAATCGACAAAAGTTGACAAGCACACAGGGAAATCAGTGAGAATGTAAAGGCAGGCAATCCTGCAGAGTATTTTGATCAAAGAATTAACCTTATCATGGCTGGGAAGCTGTCTCAGTTGGCAAAGAACATGCCACAGATGCATGAGGACCTGAGTTCAGATCTCCAAGCACCCGCGTAAAAGCCAGTGTAGAGAGATGGAATGTTACAGAGATACACACTTGCTGCTGGGACAGAAAAATGAGTGGGGCTCAACCCCACCAAGCTGTACATTACAATGTCAAATTTTATTTTACATATACTTTAACATAAAATTTGAGCAAGATGTAAATTTTCAAAAGGCATGTAGGTCCCTGAGCTGGCTCAGTAAGTAGGTAATGGCACTTGATGCTTAAGCCTTATGACTCAAGTTCAATCCTGAGACCCACATGGGAAAAGGAGAGAACATGTTGCCCTCTGACCTAAACACACACACACACACCAAACAAATGAAGCAATGAAAGAATGCTATTCAACAGTGTAAAATGGCAAAAGCACTTAAGTCAAAGGGTTTTGCTGCTGTTTTGGGCATTGTTTGTTTTGGTGTGTGTGTGTGTGTGTGTGTGTGTGTGTGTGTGTGTGTGTGTAAGTGAGCATGCCTGCATGTGCGGAGGTCATAGTGTTTGGTGTCCTCCTGTGACACTGTCATCCTTGTTCCCTGGAGATGGGGTTTCCTCCTGAACCCAGGTTCCGTTTTTCTCTTCTGGACTTGTGGCCAATAGACCCCTGTGGCCCCTCGGTGCATGTGGGGTGCTGGGAACTGAACTCTAGCTTTCATGCTTGCACAGTAAGTACTCTGAGTTGCTAGGCAGGGTGACTCTGAGGTGGCAGCATCAGAAGGAGAGAAGCTTGCCCAGATGCCTCCAGCAGGACTGTTTGGTTTTATAAGCCCACTTAATATGCAGCTGCTCATATGGTGATGAACAGCTGGAGGCTACAACAAGTTCCTATACTACCAGGGGCTCACCTTCCCCAATCATACATCACTAACTTCTTTCTCCCGGTATATATGACTGTAACTTCTCTACTTTCCAGTGCTGACATAATCTAATCCCCATACGCTGCAGCCTCCCCAGTTGTGTGCAGTGAGTTTACCACCGTCAATTACCTGTGAAAGAATCAACTGCCCATGAAACAGGTGTACAAATTTCCTTAAAAATGAAAAATAAGTTTCCTTTCCAAGTGTTCTGGCTAGGAATCGAAGAAGGAAGTAGCCCTGGTAGAAGAAAGAGGAAAGATAGACAATAAGTTGGCATCAGGGTTCATCACAAAGTTGCTTACATTAGTATAATGTACTAGTGTATCCAGGACATGCTGCCTTCTCTGGCTCAGGTGCTGGGAGCTCAGGGAGCTCAGTTCTGGCTCAGGGAGGCTGGGCTTGGAAATGCAGGGTGAACTTCTGAGACCTCAACAACTTTGTTAATGTCATCAGCACCTCTATGAACTCTGCAAGAGAGGAGAGGCCCAGAGCTTTCACACACCAGGTCCAGAGGTGCCGTCTGTGCCGGCCTCTACTCATCTGCAGCAGGAAATGGGACTTTCTTAGGTGAAGTTCTTCTGAACATGGCCTTGTTCAGAGGCCTTTAGAGTATTGGTTTGTGGGTACTAAGTCTAGGCTCACTGAGATGCCGTTACAGAGGTGGAGACGCTTTCCTTTGCCTCAGCTGCATTACTCACCTTGTTCAGCTCTCTGGCCTCAGGAGTGCCATCCTGTAACAAATGGCAGTAGCCATCAGGCATACTCACCTTTAAGTAATGAACCTGCATGAATCCCTTCTCTGGGTTGAGTCCATGCTTGACAACAGATGCACCTGAAGCACTCACGTGGCCAGTCTCCTCTTTGTTGGGTCTAAAACGACACAGTGGTCACTTGTCTAAGTATAGTACATTTATACCCAACTGGACTACTACCTCTCATCTCTCATTTTCAAACTTGAGCAGCTGTGCCTTCCTTCAAGGTCAGTAGTTCCAGGTATAATTGAAAACAGTTTACATTACAAAGTCACATACTCAGCATGAAGGATTCATACTCAGTCTGGCAAACTGAGGTTGGTTATTGGCAATATTTTATGGCACCTTATCCAAGATGAAAGCCTGCCAGTCCCTCCAGGAATCTTAAGCTCCAATATGAATTATTTATCAGTGTAAACCCTTTCTTGGTGAGGAAGCTGGGCTTCGAGAAATATGTAGCTCACTTGGTAAAGTTGTGTGTGTGTGTGTGTGTGTGTGTGTGTGTGTGTGTGTGTGTATGTTCATTAATTGTAGAGAGCCCTAGTGTTCCTATTTCAGAATCTACATTTAATAATTAAGTCTCCTTTAGGACATACCTGCATCCTGAACCCACTTGAGAAGCACAAAAGCACAGGAAAGGTCCCAAGGAGCTCTTGTTTGGGGCACAGCATTTGTGATGACACAGTTATTTCATAAACGAGGTCTGTACCCAGGGTGTGCTGTACCCAGGGTGTGCTGTACCCAGGGTGTGCTGTACCCAGGGTGTGATGCTCTGCTGTGAGCTTGTGGTGTCATGCAGATTAAACCAGCGTCTCGTTATCCAACAGGGCACTTTCCACCATGTGCTCAGCTTTAAGTCTTTAAAAAAATTACATATATATATATATATATATATATATATATATATATATATATTTTACAATACCATTCAGTTCTACATATCAGCCATGGGTTCCCCTATTCTTCCCCCTCCCACCTCCTCCCTTTACCCCCAGCGCACCCCCCATTCCCACCTCCTCCAGGACAAGTCCTCCCCCCGAGGACTGCGATCAACCTGGTAGACTCAGTCCAGGCAGGTCCAGTCCCCTCCTCCCAGACTGAGCCAAGTGTCCCTGCATAAGCTCCAGGTTCCAAACAGCCAACTCATGCAATGAGCACAGGACTCGGTCCCACTGCCTAGTTGCCTCCCAAACTGAACAAACCAATCAACTGTCTCACCCATTCAGAGGGCCTGATCCAGCTGCGGGCCCCTCAGCCTATGGTTCATAGTTCATATGTTTCCATTCATTTGGCTATTTTTTTCAATAATTGAGTACTGCTCAGCTATGTTCATAGCAGCACTATTTATAATAGCCAGAACCTGGAAACAACCTAGATGCCCATCAACGGAAGAATGGATGAAAAAAATGTGGTACATATACACAATGGAGTACTACTCAGCAGAGAAAAACAATGAAAGCATGAAATTTGCAGGCAAATGGATGGAACTAGAAAAAATCATCCTGAGTGAGGTAACCCAAACCCAGAAAGACAGTCATGGTATGTACTCACTCATAGGTGGATTCTAGATATAAAATAAAGAACAATCAGACCACAACCCATAGAGAACCATAGAGGCTATATATATATAGCATGGAGGTCCCTAGGATGACTGTGGCTTATAATAAAAAAAAAATTTTTTTAACTTCCGTTTCCTAAAATGTAATAGATTCTTTGAGGCTCTTCACACAGTGAAGCCTCAAGAACAGCGAAGATCAAAATAAGTGACAGAGGGTATGCCTAGCTTTCAGGGCCTCCTGGACAAACACAGAAGAATGTGTTAATGCCAGGTGAGGGGAGAAGCCACAAGAGAGCCAGCACAGACAGGCGAGGTTTCATTTGTGAAGGTGGAGAAGCCGAGTGCCAGGTACAGAAATCTGAGCAAGATGGTTGATTATCAACCTTTCTTCTTTGTCTTCTTTTGTGACTGCTCAGGGGGATGCACCTCCACACCCAACTTAACCTTTCTTCCTATTATCTATCACCCACTAACGGTTGCAGAAGCTCTCTAACCTTCAATTTATTAACTAGCAAAATGGAAGTAATTCTACTTATATCTCTAGGTCCTATGCAAACCTCTCAAAACGGGTGATGAATATAAATAACTACTTCTTCAATGTGATAAGATATTAAGTGTTTTACAAAAAGAATCCCTTATAAGTCTTAGTGGAGTATCTCAGAGCATAGTTCTAGCAGACACAAGGCTCAGAACTAGCAGGTCTCTGAAGCAAAGGCAGCAAGGATGAACAGCCGTGGGAGCTGACTCCAGAGTTTCCATTTGTCTCCTGTATCCCTGGATGACTTACAAGAACACACTCTAGACTCACCTGCCCCCTTTGTCTTCGTGAGTCCACTGACACCCATCAGCTTAGGCCTTGGTTCTCGAGTCCTTCTTAAGACCAGGTGACTGACTGACTGAATGAGGAAAGCCACAGTAGCTTCCTTCGCCAGGGAAATTCCATCTTCCTTCTAGGGGAAGGACAGCTTCTCAAGAGGCCACGTGAATTCACATCAGGCTGTCCAGCCCCAGTGGTGAAGGACTAGCTTCAAGTTTCCTATGGTCTTGAGCTCAGAACTAAGGCTACTGAGGGGAGGAGACAGTGATGCAAACCTTTGTCCGCAGGCTGGCTTCCAGCTCCAGTTCCCAATGACACCTTTAATAGCTGTTTTCCCTTTGTCTAAAAATGTCCTTCCATAAAACCCTCTCTCACAATCTCTTCTTCCCTCTTCTTCAAACGAACAATTATTTAGGTAGATCTTTTATGTTGACAGCATCCCTATCAGGCACACAAGTCCTCAGAGATTTCTGTGAAAGTGGACATAGAGCTAGGGCAAGCAGAGCTCAGGCAAGCAAGCTCTGCAAGACTCAGGAAGAGGTTTTCATGAGGAAAGACTCCATCAGCAGAGACCATGAGCTTCTGTCTCTGGGACCCCTGCCACCTGTTCACGGAGCCAGCTATACGCAGATACAAGTACAGAAAAAGTAGGAGCCAAATCTAGGTCTGCCCTCACAATCACACAGAGGAGGCTCAGACCCAGCAGGGGCACATATAGATGCACCTGCCCACCTTCTGCTTCCCAGAAGTCTAGAACCCAGCAACACTGACCTCTGGCTACAGATGGGAACAGTAGGAACCTTAAGGAGGGTGAAAGAGGCTAAAAGGAAGATGTCTGAGATGATCGCAGAGTGTTTCTATGTGGCTAAATAGTACAACACCCTGGAGTAATCTAGCAAAGATGTGTGCATTTCATTGCACGTGTTATATTTCAATTTAAAGTTAGGAAAAAGTTGAGCATTCACATGAATGCCTGAAATCCCAGTATCTTAGAGGCTGGGGCAGGAAGAAAGTTTGAGGCCAGCCAGAGCTACAAAGTGGGATTCTATTTCAACAAAACCAATCAAATAAATGAAATCCTAAAAAGGAAAAAAGTTAAGAAAAATAACGTGCAAATAAAACAGTACCCACCTTTTCCCTCAGATTAGGGACACCAGTGTAGAAAGGTGTTTGCTACTTGTGTGCACAAACACAGGACTGGGTCACAAGATGGGGGCAGTGGCTGGGGGCCGGGCTTGGAGGAAGCTTTTGCTTCTCTTACAGCAGAAAGCTATGACTACTATTGTACTTCTACCCTCTTATAGATGACAGAGGGAACTGTACGAGCCACCTTGTAACCATGAGGCAGCAAGTCAGTGCACCCAGAGACTGGAAGGGAATAAACCAAGGTAAACCTTCTTCAGTGGGCATAATTCAACCCCATGGTAGCCCAGACTACCCGCCTTCCTGCTGCTTCTTGTGTGAGAGACATAAGCACCATGTGTTGAAATCAACTTCCCGTTACAGTCCATTACCCATACCCAGACTCACACGTGATGGATGGAAAGCTGGATCAGTGCTACCAGCAACATGGCCTGGGTGAAGGCCAGGGTGTCTGTGCCGTTCACTCTGTCATGCTCTCCTGCAGTGGGTTCTTCTCCCTTACAAGAACCTGATGAGGAAAGGGTTGTGAGGATGCCCATTAAGAGCTGAAGAAATAGGGGCTTAGAGAGGAACTCAAAGCTGGTCGGTAGCCAGTCAGAGCCCAGGCACAGGCTGTACTCAAGGGCTTCCTCGAGAGACTGGCCCTCACCCAGCTGTGCAAAATCCTCAGGAGAGAACTGGAGACCCATCGTTTTCCTTCCTGGAAGCTTTGTTTCCTCACTGCAAGTCCATGATGAAGTTCACTTAACTAAAACCACCACTGTGTAAAAGCAAGCTTAGTCCTGCTGCAGCCAGAAGATTCCAGTGTTTACTCCTTGCCTGACATGCATGGAATGTGGGTGATCAAGTTACCAAGGTCATCTGGGCTCAAATACTCTTGGTTTCTGTTGTGCCTGGCACCAAATACAGCAACTGATGTGAACATGACCTTTCTTGCCTCTACCCTACCTCTACCTCTCCTGCACTCTCACAGAAGCCACCTGGATATTTCCTGAGTGACAGTGGTATCTGACACACAGGGATACCATTTGGAATGAGGTGCCTTAGGAAAGATCTGGTCCTTCTAGGCTATGACCAAGGGTGAAAGCAGGGTAACTGCCTCTGTGAGGTGCTCAGACAGTTAGGTGTCTGGTTCTGTCTGCCTTGCCCAGCTCTTGCAGATCATCTGCCAGCATGCCCTCTTGTGCATGAGAATGCCAGCTGCCTCTGTATGCTCACCGGTCCCTGCCTGCTTGTCAAAGGTAGCCACCCCAACAAGGAGCAGAGTTTCATTTACACCCTAACAACGAGGAAGTGAAACTCTGTCCAAGAAGAAACTGGCCTCGAGGTACCATCTCAACTCCACAGGCACCTTGAAAACCAACAGGGGACATAATGCTGGTTAAGCATTTGGCCATGAACACTGCCTCTGGCACGTGCAGCCCCATGAAGCAGAGCTCCCTCGTCAGCAAAAACAAGAGATGGTGGCTGTTGAGATGGCTCACTATAAGCATGGGCTGAACCCCAGTGCCAACACAAGTGCCAGAGGTGGAGATGGGGAGCATGATGGATAGCCTGGCCAGAACAGGGAGATCCTGCCTTAAGACATAAGGTGCAGAGA